GACAGCTTGAATTAATGTTCAGAGGAATAGGCTGTGTGAACGCCTGGAGGATATCACTCTGTATATAAACATAGCTGTGGGAAAGTGACCTAGTAATCAGTCTGAAGCTATGTTTCATGGTCCAAAGATCTTTTACAGTGACTGTTGGGTATCTGATCTAAGAATGAATGATAGACAAATCCTTTTGTACTTGGAACAATTTAATTGGTTCTACCTAAGTTATCATCAACATGGAATACCAGTGAAGCAGATTACTTTCCTGTAAAACATGGACATAGAGGAGCATTTTCACTAGGACATCGATGATACAACTAGACTGATGTTTGAGCCCTTTGGTACAGGGAGGTCGAAGATGAAATCCACAGTAATGGTTTCCTTAAGACGAACAGAGAAAGGATGCTGGCCCAGAGCCTCTAAAATGGTACTCCTGGGTCTTTTAAATGGATGCTCAGATCTGAGCCCCTTAAAATATGTACAAAACATGAGTTGCCTAAAAAAGACCCAGTCCACACCTAAAGAACTTCCATTGGTCAGTTTAAGGTGGGCACAGAGGTTGGGATTTAGCCTCTCTGTTGGCTTTCCTGTTAGAAACGTCTTCTGCCCCTGCTTGTACAGATGGACTGAGTCATGTTACTCGGGTTCTGCAGAGCTGAGGCAGAGATACGAGAACAGCTAATGATGCTAAGCCTCAGGAATGGAAAGCCCTGAGTGGAGAACTCCCTGGAGCCTCCCGACATCCCTAACACTAGCACTTCAGAGTGGCGCATCTGCCCAGCCTGGGAGCTGCCTGACTGAGCCAGCCTACAGCTGCTCTTGCTGCAGTGACCTAGATAGTCAGCTTAGACGCTGACTTCTGCCAAGGCACGTCAGCCCACGAGCTGTTGGCGCTGGAAGGCCAGTCAGCAGCGCGGGGCCACAGAACTGAAAGATCTTCCCGGGGTGAGATGAGGTGACTGCCTCTATTGTGTACAGAGCAAGATGTGCACAAACCCCGAGTGAGCCTCAGCCCCTGCGCTGCCTGGATGTTTCATTCAAGCCCACTGAGCTCATGCTCTTTTCAGGCTGAAGTGAGAAGCTTCCCCAAAACACCCCTCCCCACCCCTGCCCTGCACACTCTGGGGTGTAGTCCAGTTAAGAATTTAAAATGCACATTTACAAAGATCAGGAGCTCTGTGGGTGCTGAGCCTGTAAGACTAACCGGTAGGTGTGATTTGGATATGGAAAAGGGGACTTTCCCAAAAAGAACTTCTCAAAGACATACTGCTTCAAGCTGGCTGGGCAAAGGGTGAGGGCATCTGACCCCTACTGGACCATCTGAATAAGAGCTTTCTCAGGATCAGTGTTCACAAGATGCTGACCAACTCTTTCTGTACTGTGGAGTGCTAGCAGTCCTTGTAAGTGTAATGAGCTACTGTGCAAGGCTTGGCAATACAGCTTTTGCCACTTACAGGAAACCCTTTCTTCCTGGAAAGGTTGAGATTTGTTCATGTCTCAAAGTCTGTATATTGTGCATACTAATGTAACCAAACTAAAGAGATTGACATAGCATTGAAACTGTACTTTAATTCCAATATGTAAACAAATAAAATTAATAAAACAAATTTAAGATAAAATAGTTCAAATAGGCCAAGAAAATGCAAATAAAGACATTTCCAAACATCTCCTGCTTTTATTTTAGATTTTCTATATGCTACTCGTGCTAAAAGGCAGAAACAAAGAGAGTGGCTTATAAAGTATAAAGCAGGCAGTGCAGGTGTCTTAGTCACTGACCTGTTGCTGGGAGGGACACCATGACCAAGGCAACTCTTACAAAGAAAAGCATCTCACTGGGGCTTGCGCACAGTTTCAGGAGTCATGATGTCATCATCATGGCAGTGAGAATGCCCAAGGCAGGCGTGGTGCTGAGGAAGCAGCTGAGATCCTTATCTGCAGGGCCAAGAGGACTTTTGAAACCTCAAAAGCCCATCCCCAGTGACACGCCCCCTTCAACAAGGCCACACCTCTATTTCTTCTCAAATAGTGCCCCTACCTGATGGCTACACACTCAAATATATGAACCTATGGGGGAGCGTTTTTATTCAAACCACCACAGCATGTGAGTCGCAAAACTAAAAAAAAAATGCTACTTTCTAGAAACCACGTAAATTTTGGAGGAAACATATTTCCTATGGGGATGATTTTTTACAGGAACTGAAACCAGTAAGATATTGAAAACAGCAATCCTTAGGCAATATACAAAATTAGTTACTCACAAGTGTAACAGGTATCATGCACATAATTAATTTTGAAACCCCATTGTAATTACCTTCAGATAAGAGAATAAACCCAGGGAAATGTGTAGTGAGGCAAAGTATGATTTCTTCCACAGCCCGTTTTGTTTTGTTACATGTGACTTCCTGCTCGTCCCACACAGACCTTCCTGCACACATAGGAGTCTTTTCCCCTGCAGAGAAGAGTCTTGCTGGAGTCTGTCTGCTTTCCTCTCTGCTGCTCTTTTCCTGTGTGCTTGTCCTCTGTAGCTGGAAGCAGCTCGAAAGGCATGCTGCCGTTCCCATGCTTCCAGGAAGAAAGAAAATGCAACCTTTGATTCATTTTCCAAAGACTCTTTAAGGAAGCCAGGAACTCAGACATTTCCCACGTTGACTTATGGAGACAGCAGTCCAAATCAGAGGACATGCATTTCCTGTAGGGATGATTTATTAAATAGAAAGCAGTAAGAAAGTAGTGTCTATTCCCATATATGGGAGTTGGTGAGGCCTGAGGAAAGAAAAAACCGGAGAGCTCGCATTACACTCCCTCACTCTTAGCTAAGAGGCCTTCTTGGCCTAGTGCTTCTGCATTCCACAATCCCTTACTGAGAGCCGTGGCCAGTTTTGTTGTCACGTAGACATGGCAGCAGTCAGCCACAATGAACCATATGACTTGGACAATACCAAAGATCCTACTTCGTAGATTTCTTAGAGATTAAAATAATGCTATGCAGAGACTTGGCATATAAAGAGTGTTCTGTAAATGTTAATGATACACAGTTATGTTATTCAAACAAAAGCTATTTCAATTTTGGTACATTTCTGTCCACTTTTCCTATAAAAAGCTAGTTGTATTTCTCATATATGAAAGATGGATATAAGTCTTAAGTTTTAAGACAAGTGTGAAAATCATTAAAAGTGTAAATCAGTGAATTTCCATAAACTGAATACTCTTTAGGGTAGCCATGCCCTGAAAATCTCATCAATTCTTCAGTGCTAATCTCACCCCTGTGAGGAAGACGTCCGTTTTCTTTACTTCTATCATTAGAAATTAGTTTGACTCACTTTTATTTAGAGTTTAGTTATTTGCTAGGCATACAGTTTTAACCTCTCTTTCTCTTGTGCTATATTAGTTCCTATCAGGTCCCTCAGTGCTGCCTGTGTAAGGCATTCCGCTGAGTACTGTAAGAATTTTCTTGTCTTCCTAACAAGAACTTACCAGAAGCCTGATCCACCTCCATCTTCCCCTGCCCACTCAGGGGCAGAGCATTCCCAGCAGCACAGACAGCTGGGACTCGGGGGCAAGCCTGGGGTGTGGTGTCTCATTCAAGACCACAATTACTGTTAGCAGCTATGCCATCCCAAGAAGGCCATTCTGTCCTTTTTTCTCAGTTCTTCGTGGAAGAGTAACAATAAAAATGCCATTTCTGTGGGGTTGTTTTAAGGATAAAGTTAAGTCGAGTATTTAAAAAGCACATATTTGGTATTCCTGCTGTTTTATTTAAGGATCATTCTGTGTCTTACAGACTGGTCTGAGTAGCTGTGACAATAGCCCATGCCACCCTGTCAGGTTACACAGCACCTGGGTCACAGTGGAATGTTTATTAAAACACACTTCAGAAGCACACTCTTAAGATTGCAGATTACTGATTGAATTTCATTTTCCTTACCTTTCTGTATCATTGCTTATTTTGGCTTTTTTTTTTTTTTTTTGCTAGTGTAAGTAACGTCACCAAAATGAGATCTTGTTATGCTGTCCAGGCTGACCTCAAAGTGCTGTGTTAAAGGCATCCTCCTGCCTTAGCCCCTGCCCCCAATAGCGGGAACACACACTCCTGTGTGTGGGTAAATGTTCTGTTTTGGTTTTTGGTGATGCTAGGGAATAACTCAGAACTGGTGCATGCTTGCCTAGCATGCTCCCACTGAAGCTCCAGCCTCGCGTTACACATCATTTTCTAAGGGCCATGCACACACTGCTCTTTCCAGCATCCATGCAGTCTATGCTGCACATTCCTATGGCTTTATTAGCCTAGCATGTGGACAGACAGACACTGAAGCTGCTGCATGCCTTGAGTTTTACCTCAAGGAGCATGGCTAGCTGCTACTTCACTGGGGGAGGGAAGGAAAGGCTTTCCTAAGGTGCCTGTAGGAATAATCCCCTTAAACTGAAATGTTACACTGACATGTTTAAGGCAACAACACGTATTACCAGAAACTAAAAACATGTGAGAGGCAAATTCATTCTGAGCATAAACCCTTCAGAGCAGCAGGCTGGGTGTGAGCCGGAAGCCTTGCCTGGAGTTTAATGATCGTCTAAGGTCAGGGCTGGCTGCAGCAGTCCCATGATTAACATTGCAAGTGGGTCATTAATCTCCAGGAAATGCTTAGCATGTTGATTGCTGTTTGCTTAATTGAGGTTGTGAATAATTTAGTAAAGAATGATTACACGAATTTGTACAAAGGAAAGACTTTTTCAAATACTTGGGGGAGCACCCCCTAGCCAGCACATTTCACAGCTTGTAAGCATTGAAATATTTCAGGTTTCAGAAATGGAAATTTCGGACTTATGGGATTTGCTGCTGTTTTTTTTTTATTAGTAAAAGGATGTCTTCTTGCTAAAGGGAGAAGCAAGAAATAGTATATTTTCAGAGGGTGAGAAGCCCAGATATTTAACACAGATAAAATTTTAAATTCTCATAACATTGAAACCTTCAAAATTTTCATTTTAATAAACTTTTGTTGTTTTTGCAGGTCAGAAGGGGTTCTTTATTTGACATCATTTCTTTTCCAGCAAAGACTGCTTTAACTAGCATAATGTATGCTTCCTACGCAGCACTAATTTACTTGGTAAGTGAACTGCTATATTCTAGAAACAAATGTATCTCATTCATTGTTGAAAACGGCACCATGTATAGTATTAGCTTTAATGTTACCAGTGAAGGCACATTACTGACCCTGCAAAATGATTTCAGATTTGTTGTTTGATTTTCTGACAAGCCAAATTAACCCCCAAGGCCCAATTTGCTTATTAAATAAAATTATTTTACTTCTCTAAAGTTAATTACTATTTAAAGAAATGAAATCAAATTTAGTAAATCTGATAAAAATTTAGTCAAAACAGATTAACTTTTGCTTTGAGATATCTTGTTGTCTAGTTATAGCCATTGTCTCACGATGGCTTTAGTTCAGTATTTATTTGGGGTCTATGCCTTTGAAGAACACGGTTGTTACATTTTGATTATAAGTGCTGTGAATGACAAAAACCTAAAAGATGTATAAATTATATGAGTTTCCATCCATTAATAAGTATCCATATATGCTTTATGAAAAACATAATTCAAGAAAGGTTCTATCTTGATGAATTACCACAAAATCTATTGGTCTACTTCAGTAAACATCAGCTACAACTACAGCAACATCATTCCTGCCTCTCTTCCACATAAGTGACTGACATTTGACTTGTGGGTGATTCAGCTTCTTAGATTGAATGTAGCCTGAATCACAGCCTAAACTTTCTTCATGTTTTCTGCTGCTATGAGATTTGGTACTTCTTATTGCTGAGTCTATTCCTGTCCGTTGCGCTATATATAGTGTTTCAGTGACTGACATTCCTTTTCTTACTCAACCACTGATGGGCATTTTACATTGCTCCTAGTTTGAACTTTTATGATGTTTGCATACGTATCTTTGTACATGCCCTTTGTTGAAACTGCTAGGTTACAGGATATGCAAGCACTTATCGCTGATAGTGCAAAAAAAACTCCTAAAATTGTTTTTTAACAATTAAAACCCAACCTAGATCATAGCAGTCCTATATGTCACCAGTGGTGCTTGCTATTGTCAATATTTTCTATTTTAGCCATGATTCAAAGTGTGTATTGTAATACTGATTTTAATTTACATGTTATCGATAAGATTGGTCACAATTGTATAAATTAAATATCCCATTTGTGAATTTCTGTTAAAATCTCCAATGCCAAAACAATGGAATCAGCTAGGCTTAGCTGAACACTCTGAAGCCTTGAGCGGAAACCAACCTTTGCTTCTTTAAAACGTTCTTTCAGTTACTTGTGTCATGATGGAAAGCTGCTTAGCTCAGCTCTTTTTGTCAAAAGATCATAATCTTTTTTGTCTCGTCTAACCATTTTGGCATGATGTATGTTTGATGTGAATATACATTCTCCTGCTTGGTTTCATACTTAATTTTTTAAGAATTGTCTGGTTTTTCACTTTAAGTCTATGTATGACTTTGTTAGTGATGTGAGTTCATTGCAGGCAGAACTTCTTGGGTCTTGTTTGTAATCCAATCAGCAAGTTTGGAAATTTATGTGCCTATATGTGTGCTATATGTATTTGTGTTATGTGTATATATAGACACATGCGTATGTGTATAAAGGCCAGAGTATATTGGTTATCTTCCTTGATCACTATTCACCCTGTCTTTTGAGACAGGGTAGTGATGGGGGATGTCTTTCTGTATATATGTTTCTCTTACTGGTTGATGAACAAAATACTCTTTGGCCAATAGAGGCAGAGGATAGACGGGACTAGGAGATGAGGAGAACTCGGGGAAAGGTAGGCAAAGAGGCACATAAAGGACCCCATGTAGTTGAGGAAGGAGTAACAGGTCCGGGCCTTCTCTGGCAAGATAAGACCTGTGGAAATACTCAGATTAATAGAAATGGGTTAATAATTAAGAGATAGCTAGCCAATAAGAAGCCCTAGCCATTGGCCAACAGTTTATAAATATATGTCTCTGTGTGCTTATTTGGGGCTGAAGATAGATGGGACCTGGCGGGAAAAAAGTCTAGCAACAGGGTAGCTCACTGAATCTAGACTCATCAGTTCAGCTAGGCTGACTTGCAAAAAACCCCAGGGATTCTCAGACTCCACCAACCAGTGCTCATATTCTACCTGTATACTGGCATGCTCACTTCTATGTGTCCATAAGCCATATTCTTCTATGTATATATAAGGCATGCAAACTTTTCATTTCTACTTGGTTCTAAACTCTTCTTGCATTGGGAACATATGGGAAGTTTTCTGCTATTATTTCACCGAATAAGTTTCTCCATCTTTTTCATGACTTGGCTCTTTCATCAATACTGGTTATTCATAAACTTAGCCTTCTAATAATGCTCCCAAATACCATTTATACAGTTCATAGCTTATTCTGATTCACTACTATCTAAGTGTACTAATTTGTTCACTCTGTTTTCAGTCTCTGATATTACACCTTCCAGTTGACCTTGTTTATTGGTGAGACTTGAGTTTGGTTCCTTTTCTGGATTTCATCTTATTGCCTATATTGGTTTCCTTATTTTATTCAGCTGTTAGTTTATGTTATATTCAAACTCAGTCATCATTTTGAAAAACAATCTTTTGGATTCTTTTGCATACATATGCCTCAGTATTTTTATATTCATGTATAAACTTTTAGGAGCCATGTAATTAAGTATATAAGAACTAAGATAAAATCATAAAATTAAGAGAACTTTAAGAATGCCAAAGTAAACAGAGGATATGCCGTGTTCATAGCCTAGCAGAACTTACCCTTCCAGTTATAAAGACATTTTATGAAGCTCCCATGATTCATAGAGCAAAAATTGCCCCAAGAATAGGCAAAGCAGCTAGACTCAGAGAGTTACAAATAGACCTACACACAATGTAACTTATGAACATTATGAAAGACGATACAAAAAGGATTTTCCTGATAAGTAAGGGTAAATCAACTGGGTATCACTGAGGTAACTATTTCTCTCTTACCTCATACCAATTCCACATGGATTATAAATCTATAACTGAAAGGCAAAAATAATACTGCTTCTAGGATATAATAGATGAAAATGTTCTCATGACCTTGGGTATAGGTCATGATTTCTTTAAACAGGAAAAAAAACCCATACAACATGAAGGAAAGCATTAATAAGTTGAACTATATGAGAATTAAGAAAAGACAAGTCAGAGGAATTAATGAAATTTGCACATATGAAATCAAACAAGAATATCCTGGAATATATTTTCAAAGCAAAATCACTAACTTGGGAGTTAGACGTCTCCCAGAAAAACAAAAGGCATACGAGGCTGAGACAGCACGACAGCGGACGGAGGCGGCAGAAGCCACTCACCTGATGGCACAGAAGCTGGGGGAGGGAATGGACACAGGGAAAAATAAAGCCCCTAGAATATGCCTCCAATGAAATATTTACTGCAGGTAACACACACCAACTAACATTACCAGCACACCTCAAAATAGGTCCATCGCCTGGGGTCCAAGCCTGTGAGGGACCTTTCACAACCAAGCTGTAAGTGGAACAACCTACTGAGGAACATAATGATCATAAATATGCATACTGGATCACTCGGTCTTGTTAAACAAATACTACACAATATGTAAGGAGAGATAATACTACAATACAATAGTGGGTGGCTTCAGGATTCCTACTCCCACCAACATGAAACATCATCAACAAATATCAACAAAGAAACATTAGAGATAGATACACTAGAGGTCAGTGGATTTAACAAATATCTATACAATATTCCATAAAACAGTAGCAAAATACACATGCTTTTAATTAACACAAAACACTACTTTTCAATACATACTGGAGCTGTTCATACAAGCTTTATAAATAAAAAATGAGAAAGGAAGGAAATGAAAGGAAAGGAAGACTATAGACCAACATAATCTTTGATAACCCTTGATTATCTTTGAAATTAGATGCAAAAATTCTTAATATGATATTTGAAAACTGCACCTAGAAATATATATTAAAAACATCATCCAACATGATTAAGTCAGTTTCATTTCAGGGATGCTAGGATGGTTCTGTATTTGTAAACCAATGCATTTAATATGGTATATAAACAGAAGACAAAAACTGCGTGATCATCTGTATCAATGCAGAAGAAACCTTTGAGATGAAATTATATCATTTGGAGAAAGTTAAAAGAATGGAACTTGAGGTCATCCTATTAAGCAAAATAAAAAAGACACAGAAAGAAAAGTACAGTATGTTTTGTACTGTGTGGAACCAGAATGACTTTTGAAAAGATCTGAACCAGTGGCAGGACTCCTAGAGAAGGGCATGGGATGGGTGAGAGGGTGAAGACGGGGAGGAAGACTAAGATGCCATATACACAAATGGAAGCAGCACAGTGAAATAAATTAGCATGCTGCTGTAAGAAAGACTATTAGAAATTCAAAGAAGAAAACGCTCAAAGAATTAGCTCTTCTAAGATAAACCACTTCCCTTTAGCTTAGTGGAATACGCTGCTGTCTTTTGCTACTTGGCTCATTAGTAATGCAGAATGAGCTGAATGACTAAACTTGTTTATTTCTCACTTCTGGGGTTATTTTCATGCGTGTTTTGTTTAAACACTTTTCCATATTTAGGATAAGGAATTGATCAATCCCTTGTCGTGTATCAGGGTTTCCTCAAAGGAAGGGCGACATGTTACTGACTTTTTGTCTGTGGTTGTCAGCACCTTAAAAAGAAACATCACTCTTTAACATTTTAATTGGTACAGGCCGTCTGTGTCAATGCTGTGCTGACCAAGATAAAGAGCATTTTCCAGGAAGAAGAATCCATAAGGCAAAACAGAGAGAGCGAGAATCTGAGGAAAGCCTTTTCTGAACCCGTGCTTCCAAAGCCCATGTTTTCTGAAGGTGAAATCAAAGCAAAACCTTACAGGTCATTACCAGAGAAGCCAGACAACCTTTCGGAGCACCCCAAGCCTCCTGCCAACAAGCAGAGCAACAAGATCCAAGTTCTGCATTCTGTGTTTGACCAGTCAGCTGAATTGAATGAATGAGAAATCCAGACATGGGTTCATTTCATCAGACAAAACCAGAAGACCAGTTTACATATGCTAAATGCTCTTTTAAAAAGGGGTAGAACAGGAAAACTATGACATCATTCTCTTGTATTTATATGGCATAGAGAATAAAATGAATCTTGATGTACAATATATATATATGATGACCTAGTATATTTGTTTTTCTAATCTATATGTTCAGGTACCTACCTACATAGGCCAGAAAAAAGTATCAGTCTCCAGAAGCCACCTGACATTGATGTTGGGAACCAAACACATGTCCTCTGGAAGAACACAACATACTCTTAACCACTGAGCCATCTTCCCTGCCCTTACAATGCAATATTTTTAATAAGATAATTCATATTTTATTGTTAGAGTTCACACTGTTTATAATACTGACATAATCATAATTCATTCATATTTTAAATTAAGAATACTTATGAATGCTTATCTGGAAAGGAAAATTTCATAACTAAAGGCTATACGTTTATAACTAAAGGCTATACGTTTATAACTAAAGGCTGTCTATTTTGAGGCTGGACAGATGGCTTGGCAATTAAGAGCACTTGCTGCTCTTGCGGAGAGCCCAGATTTGGTTCTTAGCACCCACATGGCAGCTCACAACTATTTGTAACTGGGGAGCTAATGCCCTCTTCTGGCTTCTTCAGGCCCCAGAGGAAGTGTGGTGCACATACATACAGGCAGACAAAAACTTTAAAAAAAGCTCACATTCAGAAGCAGTGAAAAGTGTGTATCTTCCATTTGCAGGTCATACAGCCAATCTCCCTACTGATTTATAATTCATTAGTGAAGTTATGAAGAACTTGAGGTTCAGATACCATAAACTGATAAAACAAAATGTTAGTTGCAAATCTGATGAGACAGGATATGGTAAGGTGAGATTGTTATTTAATAATGGAGTTTGGCCATATTCCTATTCTAGCTCTGAACACCTTGGGTCAAATGATCATCTTACCTCAGCCTCCTGAGACGCCAGGACTACAGGCTCACAGCACTGAAGCACTGAACCTGACAAAATGATCACTTTTATTTCCAAATTTAAAGACACAAATAGAACAAGAATCCATATTACTTATTACTGCCATTGGTTCCTGACAGAAATGCTACTATATTTGGCCCTAGAAACCAAAGTTCTAGTTTTTTTTTTTTTGCCTAAAGGAACAACTTTAGTTTCTTTCAAGCACTTTATATTCTAACAGATAAGATTTTGTTGCCTATGAGCTCCCCTCAGAGACGGCACATTTTCTGAACCCAGTAAGTAACCGTTGGCCTAAACGTTGTTGAGAAAGCCCAATCCAAACGAATAATAAATCTCTTGTCATGTAACCTGCATCCCCAAAGAAAGGGAAATGTAGTAATATACAGCAATAGGTCCAAGCACCTGCGAGTCACTGCTGTGGGTGCTGGGAACCGAACTGCAGTGTCCTCTGCAAGAGCAGCATGTCCTGCTAACCACTGAGCCATCTCTCCAGCCCTCACTCATTTTACAACAACCAAGTAAAAGAGTCAATGTAAAGTTGAACGTTGAGTACTAGGTTTAGAAATTTCATTCACCCCACATGGTGAAAATTACTCTGTGCTTTGAGACTTAGTTTTATTTGTAACAGTTTTCACCATGAATTTATAACCTAGACATCCTTTCTGGCCCCATTTACACCTACATTTTACTGAGTACTAAGTTTTGCATGACTGATACCCAGGGTGTTTCTCTAAATCCTGAATAACAAGTATGATATCGGTCCCTGGGAGTCAGAACAGCACTGGCCACAAATTACTGGCAAGATATAATCAATGTAAACCAAGTAACCATAAACCTGCTTGTAAACACTAAGGAACAAAACACTACACATTTATGAGAAACTATACACATACAATGTTCTCTAAAATTCTTTTAAACTTTTATTTGCAAGTTGCATGTAGGCAAAGTACTTTGGTTCATTGAGTAGAAGACTTTGCATCTGTCTTGGGTAGGGCATCGCTATGTGTGGCTTTTTCACTTCCAGAATTGGCCCAATAAGAGACAAGACAAGCCAGGTTTTATTAGGTTTTCACATCTAGCGCCCTCCCTCTCTTGGTAGGGTCTCACTATGTATCACTGGCTACCTGGAGCTCACTGTGTAGACCAGGCAGAGATCCGCCTACCTCTGTTGGGATTAGAGGTGTGTACCACCACACCTGGCTTCAAGTTTCTCATTTTTAAGTTCAACATATACACTGGCCTCACTGGTGGCCATTTCAACACATAGACACCTGCTAAACATTTGTAAGCAAAAGTATATAACTAAAACTTGAGGGTTCCAGTGTATTTAAATTTTACTTTTAAAGCTGTAAACACCATAATTAAACACGGGGGTTAGGTAATCTGTGGACAGAGGGACATAAGAATAACAGAAGAATGCTGGGAACTGTTGAAGTCAGTCATGGAGGGTCATTCTGTTAACTCTTAGCTTTGAATGTAGGAAAACTTTCCCACATGAAACCTGCTGCGTTTAAAAGGGATCTTTTCCCACCTAAAACTCTCCTCTTACACTTCGTTTATCTGTTACAGACTGTGCGCATCCTTCTTACACTGGCCGTCTCGAGCCTTTAACGTACAGATTCCAAACAGTTGAGAGAGGGATGGAATGTACTCTGTCCACCTTGGTGGCGGCCCTGAAATCACACTAAAGTCAATGTGCTTTTAAACTTCCCAAGTCTAAGACTTTAAAAATGTTTGTTTTTAATTTCTATATATGTATATGACATGTGTGTGCAGGTGCCCACAGAGGTCAGAAGAGGGCATCAGATCCCCTGAAGCAGGTGTCACGGGTGACGTGAGTCACTTGGTGTGAGTGTGAGGACCCAAAGTCAGGTCCTCTGGAAGAACAGAAAGAGCTCTGAGCCCTGACAAAACCCGAGACTTTTAAAGTTACTTGTACCTATGATAGAAAACATTCATCTTTGTAAAGTAGTTTCAAACATACACACATTTTTTTTTTGCTGCCATATATTTTTATCAGGAAGAACTCTGAATTACTTTGAAGTCTCCAGTGGCAAAATAATCAGAGTCACATTTAAAAGGTTCCTTAGAAAGCGTCACATAAATATTGCCATCATCCACTGTCACAGTGTGAATCCTTTGCTTTACTCCCTTGGAGCACCACTGGGGTCTTGCCTTTGGGTCTCTGGGGTTTATGGACTGGTATAATCCTTCTCCTGTTGCCAAAGTGATCTTGTATTTATGCCAGGGGCAAACTATACATGACTGTCCATTGAAATCCTGGAGGGGAAAAACAACAGATTTAATAATCTTGACAATTCAAGTGTTTAAGACAGACCTCACATTTGGTTAAGAATCTGATGCAGGAGAACCGGGTTAGAGAACCGTACCAGCTGGAGCTGCATTGGTGCCAGCCTGGACACACAATGAGACTGTCTCAGAACAAAGGGAGCCTGCCAGGGAGGGAGCTCTGCTGTGCAGGTGCCTTCCGCTAGGCCTGATGATGTGAGTTCAATCCCGGGAACCCACGTGATGGAAGAGGAGAACCACCTCCACACAGGTACTCTATACACAGACTGTCCCCACACTCAAATAAGAAAGTAAACATCACGAATGAACAAAGGAGACAGTGCCCCCCCCCTTTAGAAGTTACACAGCACAAGCAGAATGAGGGTAATATGTTGTTTCTGCAGCTGGCTAGGAACTCAGGGAGCCGGAGCGCCAGCAGAAGAGGACTGGCTGGCACAAGACCACACTGCCTCATAGGCAGAGGTTACCTACATTAATGTCAGCACTGGGGCAGGGCTTCCTGTGCTTCCCAGGAATTTTCACCAGCTTCTAGAGGAGCTGTGAGGTTGGGAGTTACTGAACGCATGAGTGCAGATGCTAGGGGAAACTGAGGTCCCGACTTTGAAAGCCAGGCCTCACAGAGCATGCACATCAGCTGGGTCCCCTTTAAACACAGCTGTCTGCTGAAATTCAGTATGCATTGGGAGAGTGGACTCTGCATGTCTAAGAGACTCCAATATGACAAGCGTGCTGGACTCTGGCTTACACGGTGAGTAGCAAGTTCCTCATGGGCTAAAACACTAGAGACAATTCTATTGCCTCCTTATCAACATGTGCTTTCAGCCCTGAACACCAGAATCAGAAATGCTAATTTGGGTTCCCATAGCGGTATCAGCAAATGATCCCATCTTCCTAATTTAAACACATGCCCTTTAACATAAGGAACAGGAACAGACGTGGTTAGCAGGCAAGTAAGTGTACAGAGAGTGAAACTCAGGCTTGTACTTTGCAACAGGTAGAGAAAACAAAACAACCCAAAACAAACGGAAGACAGAAATTGTATATCTAGTTTTGGAGTACAAGAAAGCAAAGGCAATTCCCCCAAATTCTTCAGGTAAGATTCTAAATATGTTTTCTCTCAAACATTTAGAAACAGGTTTATTATATTGAAAATATATACCCATAAAATTCAAAACATAAAATATAACAATAAAAAGTCAATCTATTGGAAATTTTGTCTCATTGGAACTACTCTATTTGCTCCTCTTAATACTCAAAAGTACATTGTTAACATCTCTCCATACCAGCACAGATAGGTCTGATTCAGTAATTCAAAGGGTATACAATGTTCCACAGAATGGCTATGTTACAATGTATTTAATGAGGTAGTCTTAAATTTTCCTGTACATCATTAAACATTTGGGCAATTATATCCACAGTGTAGACATCCCAGTATAATTGTTAGATCAAAAGACATTCATATTTATTATTTATTAGGAAAATGATTTTCTTTGCCTTATAGGGTATGTCTTCAAGGCACTAAAGTAGAATTAAATGTAAACTATTAATATTTGAATAAGGAATAAAGTAATGATACAGGAAACATCTGAATTTGCTTAGAGTAAATTTAATTTTGCATACCTCAATTTCTCCCAGGTGTAAGGGTCCTCCAGAGTCTGAAAAGGAATTGATATTATATCTAATCACTAAATTGAATTTCAAGTTTTGTGATGAATAAGTACAAATTCTAGAAAAGAAAAGAAATCTTACGGTAGCAGCGAATGTCCATAGCATGATACTCCCCTTTGTGGTAGAAAATGACCACTTCTCTGTCATGGACCACAGCCGTCATTCTTTCCAACTTTCTAATGTCATCTTCTCTGCCAACACAGACGGAAGTGTACTTCTTTTCGTCATCTTGTTCGGAGTCTCCAAGGTCCATGCTATTTATTGAGGAGAGAAGGAAGAAAGAGCAGAAGGAATGTGAGCAGAGGAGAGAGGGGGAGGGGAGGGGAGGAAGGAGAAAAACACTGGATGTGCTCCTCTCAAGTTTGGACACAACCTAGAGAAAATATTGAGTCGTCTAGATTTTCTGAAACAAATGAATGCATTTTCCATAGCTCTATAGAATGTTATTTATTACTGTTATTATTTGCTCGTTGTACTCTTTTGGTCTCTGGGGACCCTCCCACCCAGCTTCCAAGTAATCACAAGGAGTCTTATTACTTACAAATGCACAGCTTTAGCTTGGCTTATTTCTAGCCAGCTTTTCATAACTTAAATTATCCCATCTACTTTTTGCCTCTGGGCTTCTACCTTTCTATATACCTTTTTTACTTACTCCATGGCTTGCTGTGTAGCTGGCTGGGTGGCTGGCCCCTGGAGTCCTCCTCCCTTCTCTTTCTCTCCGTCCTTGATCTTCTCTTCCCAGATTTCTCCTCCTATTTATTCTCTCTGCCTGCCAGCCCCACCTATCTCCTGCCCGCCTGTTGGCTGTTCAGCTCTTTATTAGACCAATCAGGTGTTTTAGACAGGAAAAGCAACAAATCTTCGCATAGTTAGACAAATGCAACACATCTTTGCATCATCAAATGTTCCACAGACAGATTATCGTTCATCTTTACTTTGATTTAGGAGCCCAACACCGCCACACCAAGGCAAGCTCCCACACTGCCCGGGAAGAAAGGGCCCTTTCTGTAATTTAGGTGGACATTTTGGAGCAGAGGAAAGAGCGCAAAGCTCCACTGCACTCTCACCCCATCAAATGCAATACTCAAGAACACCCAGTTGTTCTGTGCACTGTCTCTGTCAAAGGAGTCCCTGGAGTCCTGGGTGCCTGGGTGAAGCGGCTCACCGTTGGGGTCTCAGGAGCCTTATGTGGCCTCACAAAGCAAGCTCTCCCCTAACAGGAGATGTTAAAGTGGGGTCCAGAAGGTACCAGGACTGTGCTTTCCTTTATTATGGGACAAAACTAAAGGCTTGCGACTGATGACAGAGGCTGAAGTGTCATGGTGACATCTAATCTCAACCGTTACAGCGCTGAGAGAGCAGCTTCTGAAGCAACGGCGTTGATGGTCATCTTTAAAAGCCACCAGAGTGCTCTTCCGCCCCGGCCCGGAAGGGTGATGTGGCTGGACCAGCAGCGGCCTCACTATGTCTGCCATTTTCAATTTTCAGAGTCTGTTGACTGTAATCTTGCTGCTTATATGTACGTGTGCTTATATACGATCCTTGGCGCCCAGCCTCCTGGACAGAAATAAAACTGGACTATTGGGAATATTTTGGAAGTGTGCCTGTATTGGTGAATGCAAGAGTCCTTATGTTGCCGTATGCTGTATAGTGATGGCCTTCAACATCCTCTTCATACAGTAGCTTTGGAAACTACCAGCTGTGATTGCCATCAGACTCTGTAAACAAGGACATGTCTCCAAAAAAATAATGGGAAGAATGGCTAACCCTTTTATCTCTGAACATGAAATGAGATGAATTTCAAGATGCTGTTCTCTATTTTTATGCTATTGGACCAATGAGCTGTACAAATAATTAAGATGTAACAGGAATGTGATTGTAGCAGTCAACCTCAGTTTTGTCACTCCAGTATTACACTCAACAAATGTCATTCTGTTGTGTCGGGACTGCTTTTCCTAAGGTTCCTGAGGGCATGAAATAGAACTCACAGTTGGCGAATTCCACAGGCTTCTTTAATTAGGGTTTGAAAATATTGTCTTCACAGTATGAGACATTCTAATGACTGGCCTATTTTTATTAAGAAAAATTGTTATATTTTTGTTGTTGTTACTGTTCTTACGGATTGCATTCATATTTAAACCATTTTGATTGCTAACCAGAGTACCTCTCTATTCTTGGCAAATTATGTTGGCAAATGCTGCATTTCTTTAACATAAAAAAAAGCCACCAGAGTGACAAGTGAGGTTATCTTCAGATCTCCTTCCCAGTTTTCTCCTCATGAGAGATGATCATTTTACTAATACTTTCTGATCAATGACTATGTGACTGGCCCTTCAGGACTTAGGACATGCAAGCTTTCTGCCCTCTCAAGGACTGTGATCCACATGGAAAGATTGATATCAAGTAAAAATACAAATATTGACACATGATGAAATCACCCTGGATGACGTGACAGAAAGTGACAGGGTGAGGAAATTTTGCAAAGAACAGACTGTAGAGTAACTGAAAGAATCAAATTGAAACCCCTCCAATAAAATGAGTCAGACATTCGAAGCACCTGTGGGAGAGAAAAGGCTTAGCTAATGTGAGGAACAAACAAACAAACAGCCCTGGAAAATGATAAGCAAGACTGGCTAGCTGGTGGCTAGAGGTAAAGTTAGCTACAGCACTGGGGGCGGCAGAGGGGAGGTAGCTAGTCTAGGGGCACTGGGTGTCACTAACTGGTATAAGCAAGGATATCTTCCATGTTCCCCTTGCTGGAAAACATGGTGACAGGACAGGTAAGAAAACACAGAGAACAGAAAGCTGCTACAGAGAAGCACCAGAGCCAGGGTGACTTGGCCAGAGTGTTTCTGAAGTGGGAGAGAAGGAACATGGTCTAAACCCATCCCATCCCTAAGCATGTCCCACTCTGAGGACAAGTGGAAGACACACAGAGGCAAAACCAGAACAGCACCTAGTGACTGCTAATCAAACAAAATTGCTCACTCTTCTCTACCATCTGCCTCAAACTGCAGGTAAGTAATAATCAGAGACAAAGACAGTCAATGAGGTAAATGACACATGAAAACTCCCAGGAAACTTCTGTTCTAAAACTGGTTGTTAGTAAAAAACGCAAACTATTCTGCTCCCTTGCATAAACCGACTTACTTTTTACACCCCAACTCTCCTAAAAACCAATATTAGTTATCAACTAAGTGAAAGCTTATGGCTATAATACAATCATTACAATCCTCTCTTGCCTATATTTTGAGGTTTTGTCTTCTATTCACTCTATGGTCCAAATGTAGAGATTAAAAGGTGAAGAAAGAAATCAGGCTAAAAAAATACTCATGTCTGGCCAGCCTTTCAGACTACCTGCTCCATAACACTGTGTAACACTCAGCAGATGTTCTTGAAGTCACACAACCAGATGTTTGCAGGGCAAACTTGTTTTTGAGACAGGTCCCATGCATCTCACGCTGGCCCTGCACTCCCTATCTTCCTGCCTCCATCTTCCTAGTGCTAATAGTGACCACAACAGGTCTACGCAGTGCTGGGGATCAAACCCAGGGCTTTGTGAATGCCCTGCAAGCACTCTACCAACTGAGCTGCAAACAATTCAACATCCAATCGATTCTTTGGTCATCCTAAAAGACCTCAATGAGTGTTTGTGTCAGACATAGCCTTCCAAATCAAAATGAAATGATTCTAAAGATCTGTAGCAATCCTAGGTTTTACATAAGACCTCCCCCCCAACCCCACTGTTTGGTCCCCTCTTTTAAAAAATAATTGTATGTGTATGGGATTTTGCCTGCACGTGTGTCTGTGCACCACGTGTCCATGCTTGGCTGGTGCCTGAGAAGTCCATCGTCAGATCCCCGGAAACCAGAGTACAAGGATGCTGAAGTCGAACCTGGGTTCCCGGGAGAGCAGACCCTGCTCTTAGCCCTCTGCGTTAGCCACTTTGAATTCCACCTTCATGATCGGTTATGAATTTGCTATCAGAGTGCGAGTTTACAACTCTGCCTTACGCTAAAGATTATATATGAAAAGGGACATGAAGTGAATCAAAATGACCCACATTTATCAGTAGAAACTCAACTGCCACTAAACACACTAAGTGTACACTGAAATACTCTTGTATTAAAAACAAGTTGTCTACAACTGAAATACCCCAACTGTAGGAAGATGACCCCCTACCTTCTAAACCACACTGATACTGCCACATTCATAAGGAGTTTCTATACCTTTACAAACAAGAAGCTACCATAGGGATCCATTTCAGCCTGGGGCTAAGGTTTTATATATATGTACCCACATATGCAACTTGTTTAAAGCAGAGCTTGGACCTAGATTCAATGACTCCAACCCATAAACTCACAACTCATTTTAAAAGCAAGTTTATAAAAACAGAAAACTTAGGAATAAAATCCCCACCCAGTTTATTAGAAGTGAGCTTTAGAAGAGGAGATTTACCAGCTACAGTAACAAAGGGAGCGCTAAACCAGCAGTTAGGTAGGACATGTGATAGCATCACACACCTGGGTTATAAAACCTGTTGATACCCTGGCTTCTCCCTCTCCCCCAGTCCTGAGGCAGCCTGGCCCTGTTCCTGCTCCCTACTCTTTCTCCTGGGCTGTAGTTTCTCCTCAGGACTTGCCTGACACTGCCAGTTCTCTCCTGGGCCTGGGCCTTGGCCTTGACTTCCCCTGGTTGCCGGCCTCTCTAATCCCTGGGCTCTCTTCCTACCGGGGCCACTCTTTGCCGGGGGACCTTCTTTGGTGGCTCAAAGGCTGTCAAAGGTTGCATGGCTGCACAGTGCATGCGTTAGGTGGCTGCATAAGGGCTCTGCATGCAGAGACCATGAGGACCTGGGGCTGTGCGGAGCTGGGCCGAGGGCAGCTCCATGACTCCAGTTTCAATGGCCCCAACTGCTGAGCCTCTCTCTAAACCCTTCTATTCCCTTTATGAGCAAGCACCTCCCGCTTGTTGTCTCTCTTTGGATTTCTGCTCCTGATCAGTTAACACTTACCCCTCCCTTCGCTCCCTTTCCCAATAAACTCCCATAGGTTTGTTGAGTTTGGTGGATGTATCTCATTGCCAAGCACTGCAGCCAAGAACAACAAAACCTACATGCACAGAGGGAGAAGCGTGTGCACAGCCGGGAGAGGCAAGAGCTTTCACTCAAGGAATAAGAGAGACACAGACTGAGTTTAGGAAACTATAGTCTGCAGTCAGCCCATGCTCTAATAACCTCATTGGACTGGGATGCAGCTCAGTGATAAAGCACTTGCTTACAACCCATGCCACGAGTTCTAGCCCTAGTGGGGGTGGGGGTGGGGTGGAGCTTAATGGCATTTAACTGCTATTTGAAAGACTGAGATATATGCTTATGTTTTTAAAACATATCCTACAATAGACTAGCAAAAAAGCTAATTTTAACAAAAAGCAAGGGGCCATTTGTGGTAGCACACATCTTTAATCCCAGCACTCACTCATGAGGCAGAGACAGGTGGTTTTCTGTGAGTTCAAGGTCAGCCTGGTCTACATAGTGAGTTCCACACCAGCCAGGGCTATAAAGTGAGACCTTGTCTTAGAGGAAATAAAAAGGTAAAGGGGACATCACTATAATTTTTTCTGGGTTATTTGTGGATGATGGGAAGCTGGAACAATATATCTTTCTGTTCATCTGGTTTTGCTTGATTTGGTCAAACATACAAATTTCTAGAGGGAACATTTACTTTCAGAGCTGAACCAGCAGCCTTATCAGATTTCATTGAAAGAACTCAAAGGAACCAAATCCTAAGTAAACAAGAAACCAACAAGTAGAGAAGAGGGAAACAGGCTGAAGTAAAAGGAAATATTAAATCTGCAACACATAAGCCCCTTAGAGTAAGGTGCAGAATGTATGAAGAATACCTATGGACACGGAGTAAGTGAAGAACACCTATGGAGAGTGAGTAAGTGAACACCTATGGACAGTGAGTAAGTGAAGAACATCTATGAACAGTGAGTAAGTGAACACCTATGGACAGTGAGTAAGTGAAGAACATCTATGGACAGTGAGTAAGTGAATACCTATGGACAGTGAGTAAGTGAACACCTATGGACAGTGAGTAAGTGAACACCTGTGGACAGTGAGTAAGGGAAGAACATCTATGGAGAGTGAGTAAGTGAACACCTATGGACAGTGAGTAAGTGAACACCTATGGAGAGTGAGTAAGTGAACACCTATGGACAATGAGTAAGTGAAGAACATCTATGGACAGTGAGTAAGTGAACACCTATGGACAGTGAGCACCGATGGACAGTAAGCAAATGTCACATAAGCAAAGAAAAATGAGCAGAAGGCATGGCCAACAGTTCACAGACGAATCCCAAGGGGCCAGTAGACACATGTGAAGATGCTTAACCTCATCAGGAAAATAAAAGAAAATGCAATGCAAAGCCCAAGCTGGAATATTTCCATCCACAGACTAGCAAAAAGTTACAGAAGGCTTTCAAGAATATGGCATAATTACTAATGCCAGTGCAGCGTGTATCCTTAGAGCATCTGCCTGCACATAGATCAGGAATGCACTGAGAAATTTCTTATGTCAAAACCTAGCACCAGATGAGAAGTTACCCCTACAAATACGTAGCGAAATGCAATAGACTAAATCCACAAGTTCACCTCCCCTGACAACCCAATAAAATCAGATACAGCCTCCCTCAAAGTGTTTGAGCACGAACACTTACAAGGTTTGCCTCCAATCAAGAAAAAGTGGAGTGCACTTGGAAAGGGCTGATAAGGACAAGAGAGGGCTCTGTCTAAGTGATAACAGTTTCACAGAATCAGGATTATAGCCTTGCATATGCTGGAAAATATTGTCTCTCAAATAATAGTTTTCTTTACATCATACAGGCTACTATTATGATATGTGATAATTCTTTAAAATTAACAGTCATTAAATACTATGAGTATCACATTCCATTTAGACAATGAGTCCATGTGTTCACCTTTAAGAATTTAATCTTGTTACTCTGATAAACTATTCATGCATATACCTACATATTTCTTCTTTTTTAAAAGTGTAGCTGGCTGGGCGGTGGTGGCGCACGCCTTTAATCCCAGCACTCGGGAGGCAGAGGCAGGCGGATCTCTGTGAGTTCGAGGCCAGGCTGGACCGATAGCCTCCAAAACAATACAGAGAAACCCTGTCTCGTAAAAACCAAAAAAAAAAAAAAGTGTAGCTGTTTTACACTGACAGATAAAACTGTATACATTTAATCTACATGATGTTCTGAAGCATACATACACATGAAATAGCTAAATCTAGCTAATTAATAAACGATTTATCACACATAATAACATGAGATGAGAACGTTTTCCATGAGCCTTTTTCAAGAATACAATATATTGTTAACCAGTCACCGTATGTACAATAAAGGTAAGATAACAGATCCTTTACCTAAATAAAAGAAAGTGGAAAGTTAGACAGCTATCTAATTTAAGCAGTACATGATTTCCTTCTTTAAAAAATTTAGTTCTAGCCGGGCGTTGGTGGCGCACGCCTTTAATCCCAGCACTCCGGAGGCAGAGGCAGGCGTGTGAATTCGAGGTCAGCCTGATCTACAGAGTTCCAGGACAGCCTCCAAAGCTATACAGAGAAACTTTGTCTCGGGAAAAAAAACCAAAACAACAAAAAATTTAGATCTTCTGTTCTTCAGTTCTTTTTGAAAAATGGTGGGGTTTTGTTATTTTGTTGATCCCTAAAATTAAGTGTCTAAATGTGAGACTTCTAAAAACAAAGTCACACATTAAGTGGATGTCCCCGTCAGTTTTAGATACCTTTCTGGCGGAGACAATTCATTCGAGTATACATTCACCGGACACAAAAGACAGGAAAGCAAGGTACTTACGCGCCACTCCTCTCAAGCAATGGCTGAGGCCTCCCTTTGAGGGTGGGGCCTTGGCCCGCACGCTGTCCCACTGCTTATCTCCGGGGTGACACCCGGGTTCTCAGGCTCAGGGAGGGGAAAGCTCTCCTCCGCGCCACACCAGTTTGGATGACGATAAAGACACAGGACCAGCCACACGTGGTGGCACTTTGCACGCAGAGGGCCATCCCTCCTCACAAAAGTGAGGATCCGTGAACTCGCATGTCTCTAGGTGTTACTTTCGTGGAATCCGCAGCCAGCGAACCATAAAACACGCGGCCTCGGAGAAGTCGTCTGGCAACCGCGTACGGAGCCCGCACCCCCGGGAAGGAGGGAAGGCTCCTCAGCGTCCGGGAATGCGGACACACTGTGCCCACAGACGTTTAAAGCGGGGCACGGGCCGCGTGATCGCGCCACCGCTGCACCCTGGCGTCGGCTGCACCCCGCCGCCCGGCGATGGACCCGCTCAGCGGCAGGGCCAGAGCAGGCGGGCTCAGCAGCGCCCCCTCCAGGCAGAGTGACTACGGGGCTGCGCCCGCCCAGCTCACGACGGCCCGCTCCTCCCCGCCCCGTCCCCGCCCCGCCCCCGCCCCGCCCCCGCCCCCGCCCCCGCTGCGCTCCTTCCCGCCCCGCCCCGCGAGAGCCCAGCTCCCAACGCTCCGTCCTTACCCCGCCCCCAGCCACGTGGGCGGGGCACGGTCACGTGCTCGGAAGTGCTGGCTCCCAGGACTTCCTCCACCGAGGAGCCTCTGGGAGGGTTGTGAGTGGGTTCGATGGTGACCTCCAGCCAACTCTGCTCCTCCCACAGAGTGACATCTTTTTTTTTTTTTTAAAGACGATTATTGGAGCCGGGCCTTGGTGGCTCACGCCTTTAATTCCAGCACTCGGGAAGCAGCGGAAGATGGATCTCTGAGTTCGAGGCCAGCCTGGTCTACAGAGTGAGTTCCAGGACAGCCTCCAAAACAATACAGAGAAACTCTGTCTCGAAAAACAAAACAACAACAACAACAAAAAACAAACAACGATTATTGGTCTTTTTAAACTTATCCAAAATTTAAATGCGCTCAGTAATCTCATGCCTAAGAATGTAAATGTTGGCAGAAGCGCATATGTGTAGGATTGTTTATAGCAATGAAATAATACTTAGATCGTTCTTCAGCTCAGGCATGGTTGGGTAAAACACAGTACAAAAACTTTACAGCCCCATACTGCACGCCCCAAGGTCCAATGGCATGCTCTACTGCACATTGAAAGACACAGCAAACAGATTCCCATGTGTAATATGCACTCTTTAGTACAAATAAGTTTCTGCCAGAGAGACACACCCTGAGCAGGGCCAAGGAAACACACTTTGACCCTGGAACCAAAGAAATGCACCCTGACCCTGAAACCAGTGCCAAAGAAACACACTTTGGTCCTGGAACCAAAGTCATATCTGACCCTAACCGTGTGCAGAAAACTAGCCAATCCCTGAGCAGGAGCTCTAGCACACCCCCCCCCCCAAGCTCAGGGATTGAAATCTGACCAATCCCCACCCTGGAAACCCCCCCCACAAACTCCGCCCCCTAAGAATCCCTACATAAACCCTGCTCATCTGTGGCTGTCCTTCCACCCTGGCAGGGGGCAGCCACTCTCCTGGGTCCTTGCCTCCCAACAAATCTCTTGGCTGAGGTTTGGGTGAGACCTTCCTTCGCCAGAGTTGGAGCAGGAGAGAAGAAACAAACTGAGCCAGCGGAGCATGGCTGTAATACCTTCACCAGGAAACCTTGCCCTAGCTAAGCCGAGTTGTTACTCTCTTCCGGAACCTGAGCCAACTATAACAACTTTGCCCAGAAGCCCTCCCCAGCTGGAGCAAAGCTGTCATGCTGAGGAAACCCCTCCTTGGAGCAGGGCTGTAAGCTGCTATGCTTACTGTGACCTGTGGTATTCTTTGGCTCCCGAGTGCCAGAATCCCTGTCCATTGGATGGGTCTTAATGCTCACAGCAGGTATCCATTCACACTTTTTTTTCCTTTTTTTTTTATATTTTATTTTCCAGTTTAAATTTAGATAAGAAACGAGGTTGCTTCACAAGTCAGTTCCAGGTCCCTCTCCCATTCCCTCCCCTCCTCCCATGCCCTCCCCCAACCCCCCACATTATCCCCTCATTCCCCCAGGGAGGGTGAGGCACTCCATGGGGGTGTCCATAGTCTGTTATTTCATACAGTGCAGGGCCTAGATCCTTCCCCAAGAGTTCAGGGTGAGAGTGCACCTCACATTGTTCTATGGGAGTCCAAAGTCCGTGTGTATACTTGGGATGGGTACTGATCTGCTGCCCAAGGCTCAATAGATTACCTAGGCCACCTCACTGACACCCAGATTCAGGGGGTCTTGATCAGTCCCATGCTGGATTCCCAGGCTGATGCCTGGGATTCAAGAGTTAACCTTTGTCTGATCAGCTGTTTCTGGGGGTTAAACCAGCCCAGTCTTAATCCCTTTGTTCATCAGTCCTCCCTCTCTGTTACTGGCTTTCTTGAGTTCAGCCCAGTACTTAACCAAGGGAGTCTGTCTCTTCTTCGATCAGCCACTAAATGAAGTTTCTGTTTCCCAGACTCTGGGGAGTGCCATTCACACTTTTTAAGATAAGTTTTTAAAAATTATTGGTTTTAAGGAAGACAGTGTATTTTCACTTTCATTTTCAAACTATTACCCTTTTTGCATTTACTTATATTAAAACAACACAGTAAGAATCACTAGCCGGGCCAGGTGTTGATGGCACACGTCTTTAAACCCAGCATTCGGGAGGCAGAGGCATGTTGATCTCTGTGAGTTGGAGGCCAGCCTGGTCTACAGAGTGAGTTCCAGGACAGGCTCTAGAACAATACAGAGAAAACCTGTCTTGAAAAAAACAGAGAGGAGGGAGGGAGAGGGGGGGAGAGAAGAGTTCCTAGTCGGGCAGTGGTGGCTCATGCCTTTAATCTCAGCATTTAGGAGGCAGAGGCAGGTAGATCCATGAGTTTGAGGCCAGTCTGGTCTACGGAACAAGTTCCAGTACCGCTAGAGCTGTTACACAGAGAAACCCTGTCTTGAGAAAAGAAGGAGAACGAGGAGGAGAATTATTCCTCATATTTATGCTCACAGGCAGAAGCTAAATGAGTGACAGGTTTTTAAAAGTCCGTTGTAAACTGGCCCAAGGCAAGTACTTGAGGGGGGCTGCTACTGTGGGCTGAGGTGAATCACTTGAGCCCAAGTGTTGGGCAGCACACAACCTGTTTTATTCATGGAGTAAAGGCGTCTGCAAGGCTGTCAACCGAGTCCTAGAACCCAAACCCACGCAACGATCAAAGAACTGAGTTCACAGAGTTTTACTCCGACCTCCACACAGACATGCATGTGCCCACTCTCACCAATGATGCTTTGATGGAATAGCCCAAAATTTCAGCTAGGCTTTAGATTTTCCTGGGAATTAAAAAAAAATCTTGTGCCCAGTCTGCTCTCTAGATCAATGAAGTAAAATCTTAAGAGAATGTATTCAACATGCTTTCACTTGCAAAACGATTCTGCTGAAAAACCTAAGGTTGAGCAACATATACTAATGCAGTGATGTCAGACCTTCAGTGTCCCCAGATTTGAAACTTGGGAGTGATGTTCATTTATCCCAGTGTACGGCACACATTTTTTTTCTTTTAAGACAAAGTTTTGCTGTGTTGTCCAGGTTGGTCTCAAGTCTGTGAGCTCAAGTGATTTTCTCAAATCACCTTCTGAGGTCTCTCAAATTACACCACCTACAGGTATGCCACCATGTTTTGCTTGTAAACATTTATAAGCAATAAGTGAAACACAGAGAAGCCCAGGAGAATAGCTCAGTGTTACTTTCCCTGATATTATTATATTCACTATATAGTTTTAGGATGACTAGTAATATTTTTACACAACAATGTTCCTTCTGATCAAACACAGGGAAATTATTTAGTTTTGATATGTCAATTATAAAGTCATAATAAAAATTGAAATTAATATTTGCATTGTCTACTGACTCTCTTGATTTTTTAATATTTATTGTGTGTGTGTGTGTGAGAGTGTGTATATGTGTATCATGTGCATATAGGAGCCCTCAGAGGCCAGAAGCAGGCATTAGAGCCCCTGAAACTGTAATTTTAAGTGGTTGTAAGCCAGCATGTGTGTGCTTGGAACTGAACCTGAGTCTTCTGCAAGAGCAGAAAGTGCTCCTGATGGGTACACCATCTCTCCAGTCCATGTCCCAAATCATGTTTTAGCCACATGGAGCACATAAACAGTGTCCAGCTTCTGTCACCAAATGATTAAATAGGGGTTTCAATTAGAAATCAAGTTTCCTTTTGCTTAGCGTAACCTGACATCTAAAATTTTTTTGTTTATGTGTATGAGTATTTTGCTTACATGTCTGTCTGTGTAGCACAAATGTGTCCATTGCCTGAGGAGGCCAGAGGAGGACATTTAATCACTGGGGAATGTGGTTAGACAGTTGTGACCTGCCATGTGGGTGCTGGGAATTGAACCCGGTCCTCTATAAGAGCAGTGAGTGCTCTTAACCACTGAGCCATTGCTTTAGTCCAAAATCTGACACTTTTTAAAGGAATAAATATTTAGACCCATTGGCCTTCAATCTGTTCCAACTCAGTGCTCCAGTAAACACATACACAGAATGAAAGAGAAATTTTTTTGTCTTTCTCAAAGTAATAATGTAGTTAGTCATTTGGTAATATTAAATGTGTGGAAAGCTGTAATGTATAGTGAACAAATCACCTCTCTCTACTTCCCAGGTGCACATGCATGAACACACAAAAGCATGTCCATTAAGTCAAAGAATCCTTATGTCTATGTAAAAGTCTACACAGCTAAGTAGAATCCACACCAACTGCTCCTTCTAAGTGCTACCTGTGACCAGCTGAGGCACTTTCTACTTTTCTTCTTGGAAATGATTTATTTTTCTCCGTCTACAGATTTTGTTGTTGTTGTTGCTTCCTCCAGTGTTTCTAACTTCAGTCTACTAGTGACACCCAGTGGTACTTGTGAAATCAGAACACACTAGCTTTTCCTCTGTATTCTTGGCTCTCAGGGACAATTTCAAAAGTCTCCTGACCTTAGGGAGTCCAGGTCCTCCATACTGAGTAGCAGGCTGCTTTCAAGCACATTTTCCAAGTATCACACCCTTCCCCTTAGAGAATTTAAAATTAGCTCATTAGTATATGAGCTAGTAGAGGCTGAGTGCTACTAGATTTCACTACAGGGAGGTTTGAGGAGTACTCACCAGTCTGGGTTTCCTGCATCCTCAAAACAGAGAATATTGTTCCTAGTGCTCTTACTAGGCCACTGTGACGCAAACTACAAAAACACCACGGCCAAGGCACATCCTTTAGGCTTTCCTTTAGGAAAGCATTTAATTTGGCTTACAGTGGCTGAGGGTTAGGGTCTATGATGGCAGAGCAAAGATGTGGAGGCAGAGGAGAGAGAGAGAGAGAGAGAGAGAGAGAGAGAGAGAGAGAGAGAGAGAGAGAGAGAGAGAGAGAGAGAGAATATTGGGAAT